TGGTGTGGGATATTCACGGTGCCATGCAACGGGGCGTGTTGTGAAAATCTGGAGCTACTTGCCTCGTCATCGCCCTCCCAGAGCGAGGTGCCGGTGGCCGGCGGCGAGCCCTGCAGAGTCGTGGCGCGACTGCCCGCCGACTTTTCGCTTCCGGTTATTGTGTGTGCCGGCGGGAAGCTGGCCACCGCACCGCCCCAGTTCCACGGGGACACACCGGCGGCAGGCGGCGCGTCTGGCACCTCTGTCTCCGCGGAGGCGCGCAGCGACAGGAAGCACACGTCCGCGGCGATTGGACGCTCCATCTGTATCATGTACACTGCGTGGCGGGGGCCACTCACCGGGCCGACGGGCCGCGCTGGGGCAATGCTCGGCACATCCACGTACGCGGCGCCCGTGCTGGTCGCCACCACGACGGCGGGCAACGACGACGTGGAATTGAACTCTGCTGCTCGGGGAGGCGCGGCGAGTGTCTCCGTGGCGAGTTCGCCGTCACCGCGATGCCCCGACGTTCCGACTGACCCCTCGCCACTATCGGCGTTCGCTGCGCCACGCAGCAGCGACGGGAACTTCAGACGGATGCCGACGTGAATACGCTTCGACTTCCCTGACGCGTCGCACCATGTGCCTTTCCACAGCCACGGCGGGATGCGCTTCGGCACAGTAATTGGGCCACTGTAATCGGCGATAAATGCTACCTCGTCCTGTGCACTTTTGGTGAAGCGCTGGTACTCCATGTGGCTACAGTTCACATCCCATTGTTGGAGTTTGCGTAGCCCCATGATAACTAGTCCAACAACATGGCGACCGTCGAGACAGTGAATGTACAACGGGTGCTGTTCTGCATTAATCAGCAGTTGTAGCACTTCATTCATATCGGTCGGAAGAAGTTGTGCTTCATCCTTGTACCGCTCCGCTTGTATGTACCGCAGTGTGATGCCCTCCGAGGCGGCAAAGCAGGTTAGGTCATACGTCGGCTCCTCTGGCGTCAGTGACACAATGGTGCGCAACCCAAGAGTGCGGAGGAAGGGGAAGTTACGCAGAGTGGGGTACGCGCCGCGGTAGATACCCTCCTCCACAATAGCAAACCGAAACGGTGGCACAACGTCAAAGAGGGCAGGATCAATCAATGAGCTATCAGCACCACTCCGTACCGATTGATCTACGGTCAGCGAAGACGTCCGCGTAGGCATGCTCTATACGCTGCACGTCTCAATAGTTCACCACGCACGCACACACCACACAGGTGCGCAGACGTCCCTCTTTTTTGTTTCCTTCTCGAAGTTCTTCCCGTTGGCAAATATGCAATGACAATCCCCTAGTGCAGAAGACACAATAAAAAAAAAAAACGCAAAAGAAAAGGAAAAAAAAAGACAAATTGATAGGAAAGAGTCTGCGACTCTGAGTGAATGACGAACCTTTTCAACGTCAGTGGAGTGACAGATCTCTCTTGTAGAGGTTTTTGTTAATGCTGCTTCTTTTTGCTCAATTAACTGTGTAAGGCACAGTTTAATTACCTGCGCGGGCTAACACGCAGCAAGGCGAGGGAGAGTACGCCCCACCTCCCACCCACCATCATCACCGTCTTCTCCGCTAAAACGTGGCGGTGAGCTTGTCAAGCCCGAGCATACGCGTGGGCAAGGCCCAGAAGAAGTACGCCACGAGTGCGCCCCCTGTAGACGCGCCGTGCTCCTCTGGCTTCGTTGTGAAGATGCGCCAGACGTCTATGACCATCACGAAAGCCGTGAGAACTAAGAAGGGGACGGGCGGCTGCTGGATAAAGTTGAGGTGACGGAAGATGAGACCCTCCACGCCAACGAGTCCAAGGATGAACGGGTTCGGGCCGTAGCAACGCCCACGCACCTCCAAGGGGTCCATGCCGTAGTACAGCTCAAACTGCTGGCGTGCCACGTGGATAAAACTACCACCAAGCGTGCAGAGCGCGGCGAAGAAGGTCATGCGGACATTTCCGAGAAAACCCAACATGGTCTTGCCAAATTGCTGCAGCAGCCAACAGTCAATGGCGAGCTGCAGGAGATTCTCCTGGTAGAAGGCATTTGTGAAGAGTGGATAAATCCGCCAGGCATTCTCGTGTGACAGAGTTAAATGATCAACGATGAAATCCCGCACGTCGTCGTTCCCAGAGAAGTTCATAAGGAGGTATGTGATGATGTTGGCGAGGAAGAGCAGCATCACCACATTGATGGTGTGGAAGGGCGGTGGAAAGGGCAGGTAGCCAGGGCCAGCGTTGTTTGAGAAAGGATCCTCCTGCTCCCCCTGCTGCTCTTCGCTTTTCTCCTCGTACTTCTTGACCTCGTGGAAGCCAGCGAGTTGATCATCCGGCTTTTTCGGCTCCCGCAGGACATGGGTGCTGGAGAAGGTGCGGCACGACGTACGGCAGGCATCAGCAACCATGCCCTGCTGCTTCTGTTGTTGTTGCACATGGTAGAGTGCAAGAAACGTGCGCTGCGCTGGCCCGGTGAGAGAGATGCCACGCTTTTGTAAAAAACGGGTCGTCGCGCTCACTGAGATGCGGGCAGTCTTGTTTGTCAAGAAAAGACTCCGCGGGGACCGTATCATTCCTTCCCCCTCTTCTCAACTGAGCGGTAGAAAAACTATCTATATGGTGGATGCACCTCTGTTTGAGCAAGGCTTTAAACGAGGAGAGAAGCTTGTTAAAGATAGCACCAATACAGCAGCTACAAAGCTTCAATAGGCTTCCTTGCCACCATTCTCTAAGCCCCGCAGCTTGCTTCATGTTTCTTTTCTTTGTTGAGGGGGGTGGAAGGGGAATCATTTTCCCTCTCCGCTGTGTTTGTGTGTGTTCTCTTCAGCTAATGTGAGAGACGGATTTTCTCTCTCTTCACATGGTCGTGCTGCGGCTTCTTCTGATCTTCCGCCAGCGCTTTACGCCTCTCCTCAAGCAGACGCAGCTCGAGTGCATCGCGGTGCAGCACATCACGCAAACGCATCCGACGCAACTTCATAAAGTTCATCTTGCTGCGGAGCGCAGGGTTCGCCACTGCACGTACACGGCCAAATGACGCCGGCACCTGCGACGCGAGGTCACCAAAGCTTATGTGCTCCGGCACGCCGATGAGGGTCTTGGCCTCATCGAGGTCAAGCATGTCGACACGCACAACATGCCGAACTCTCCAAAGCCGCTTCCTCACCTGCGGAATATCGGGGACAATTGATGTCTGGCCCCTGAACTCAAGACGCAGCTCGCGCAGCATCCGGTTCACTTCCCACGAGTGCTTGAAGGGGTGATCGTCGCAATGCACGATAAAGATATTACCGACGTGGCGGTATGGCCCGGGCGCGATAGACGTCGCGGCGACTGCAGCGCTGGAATTCTTTTTGCTGCTGCTGCTGCTGCTACTGCTACTATTCTTTTCAGCCTTGCCGCCTTCACTCGTGTCGCTACTGGGGACGGTTGACGCATGCTTTNATATTACCGACGTGGCGGTATGGCCCGGGCGCGATAGACGTCGCGGCGACTGCAGCGCTGGAATTCTTTTTGCTGCTGCTGCTGCTGCTGCTGCTGCTACTGCTACTATTCTTTTCAGCCTTGCCGCCTTCACTCGTGTCGCTACTGGGGACGGTTGACGCATGCTTTGCCATGAGGAATGTCGAGGCGCGGCACATATGACGCTGCTGCTGTAGCAGCATAGGCATCCAAGCTCGCTGCATTCCCTTCATGCGCTACAGCGTAGAGAGACCCATAGTGGGAGAGGAAACATGAGAGTGATAAGACTTTTTACGCGTCAGATGATGAAAACAATAACAATAAAAACAAGGTGCTTGACAAAAACGGCGCCCACTTCTGTGACTTCAGTAGAGCAACGCTTTCCTTTTCCTTTTTTCCGCTTGTTTTGGCCTCACTTGTCAGTACACCGATACAATATATATATATATATACATACCCACATGTATGTATATATCTATCATGCTACGTGTGTGCAGACCATGAGCACGCACAGTAACAAGATCATGTACAGACTACGATAGCCTTAAGCACCGTTCACAGAAGCCGCATGGGAAGGAGACATGAGGAACCAAAGAATGAATGGTGGGGAAGAATTAACCCGAAAGGGTGGGATTCAGTCGCTTCTTCTTCTTCTATTTAGTACAGAAACGAATGAATAAAGAAACTCGAGCAGACAAATTGGGCAGGGGGAGAAAGAAAATCCCCACTTTGCCCCCGCACACCCCGCGGAATCTCGCACCTGCACCCCGGCCAAAAACTTGCTCATGGCAACCCACACAAAAAAAAGGAAATCGACAACACAGCACAAAAATGGGCTGAATATGTTTAAAGCGCATAGAATAGAGGGATGGGCAATATATTTCTCCGTTTGCGTCTGATAAAAGGAAGGAAAAATGGGTGGAGGATGTAGCCAAACAATCAAACAAAAAAAAAAAGAAGGGTACAGCGAAAAGAAAGACGACCACGAAAAACATTTGGTGTATTCCATCTCAAATGCTTCTGTTGCTGTTGCTGTGAGTGGTGATATTGCCATTGCTGTTGCTACCGTGTGCGGCTAAATCAAAAGTAGAGGGAAATTTTGAGCCTGCCTCAGCCCGCGCAACCACTGTCCTTGTTGGTGACGGGCCCCCAAGAGCAGCGTAGTCCTCCTCTTCCTCGGAGGCTCCTTCCTCCACCTCTTCGTACTCTTCTTCGTCGTACTCATCTTCTTCCTCTTCCTCCTCCTCGTCCTCCTCTTTATTCCAGTCGCCATCAGCAACAATGACGCAGCGACGCCGTGCATTCTCTGGTTTCTTCGTCAGGTCGACACCCCTTGGGCTGGCGGCGCCACCATCCACCGTGATGGCTTGCGTCACAGTCACACAGGAGGCGTTGCTTACGACGGATAGAGAGGATTGCTTCAGGCTCATGGCCTCTGGTTCATAAACGGGCGGCAGTGTGTCATTGAACGTGGAGATGATATGGCTGGTCCCTAGAGGTGTGCTGTGTCTCGCAGTGAGTGGCATTTCCCTCATGTGTTCAACCTCCGACCTGTAAGTGTTGTTTCCGTACGCCACAAACGGGCGCGGTTCTGTTGCCTTCGAAAGGGCGCTGCCGCTGCTAAGGGAGATATTACGCCCGCTGAGGGGGCCACCCAGCATCACGCGCTGCTCGTGCCGCTGGAGAAGGAACTGAGGTCCTGCCGTGCCGTTTGCCCGTGGAGGCAAAACTACAGGGGCGGGCGCGGGGAACAGCACGGCGGGCGAAACAACACTGTTTGGCATCCGGCAGGTGCGCGCCCACTTGTGCGACCCCAATATGCTCAGCGTCGACGCACTTCCCATGTGATGGGAAGGGTTCGAACCTGAATGCCGTGTTGACAAGCGATCGGGGTCAGTGCTTGTTGGTCCATTATCACCGTGCTGCGACATTGCAGCCGATGTTCCTGACGGGGAGTGCTTCCAGAAAGGCGCACTTCCCTTGCCGTTGAGAGTGTTGCTCTGTCTCAGGGGAATATCATCGATCGGCATATTTTCCTCATCGTCACTTAAAACGTATTCTTCGTCAATCCTCACATATCTAACCTTCTTGACAGTCCGAGTTATTGTCGTCGTGGAGATGTGGACGGCGTTTGGTGGAAGGGGCGGCACACTGGCTGTCAGATTGCTCGAAGGTAGAGATTTTGAAGACTGTGTCGGAACGGCACTGTTGAGCTTCTTCGCGTCTATCCCGGCCGCGTTGAACTGCCCTGAGCCTGTTGGCGCAGATTGGTCCGGGAGCGGTGATGGCGCGCTGTTTCTGCTGAGACTCATGCTACTAGCACTGGGCATCTCAATATGGCCGTAATGAAGGTGCTTGACCGGTGAGTCCTCTTTCCCTGTTGGTGCATTGTTGCCATTCACGCTGGGCGAAAAAGCAGGAACAGGGGCACCTCCACCATTTTCCACCGAACGGAATTGTGTGCAGCCTGTTGCGCCGTCTCTACGCAGTGGCTTCGAAGACTCCTGAAAATGGTCATAGCTTCTGGTAGATGTTTTTATAGGAGACTTGCCACCTCCGTTGTTGCCGTTGTTTTGTTTTCGGATTGATTCCGGAGAAGTACTTCCGCTGTTCCCGCTGTTTTTGTTGCTGTTTTTATCATCGTGCCTCGCTCTCTCAGAAACGACGGGTGGAAGCAGCACCGGTGGCTCAGCAGAACCCTCCTCGGGCCTTTTGGAGACTCTGTTTCGCGGCACCACCGGCGATAGCTCCTTGCTCGACTGGGATTCCACTGATTGCAGCTGAACGGTCGCCTCCGGTGAGACAACCTCCACACTCGTCTCTCCAAGGGTGTTCGGCGCCGACCGCATGTACATAGTTGGTGCCCACACACCGCGCATCCCTTCTTTTCCTGCTGCCGACGCTTTGTCGTTATGGAGGGATACAAAGGAATCCACACTGGCGCGGCCCACCTCGCCTCGCCACTGCTGATAGCGCGAGAGAGACACACTTGGCATTAATGACCCTGAAGCCGGTGAAGCGAGCATGCACTCACCGGCACCGATGTTAGAGGCGCTTTCACGTTGGAGGTCACCTTGATGCATGCTGCTCATACATCAACCGTGTCCCACAGATTTGCTCCACGTTCTGCCGTAGAATGCAAGACTTTTTTTTTTGCCTTGAACTATGCGCGTGTGCGTCGGTGCGTGGGGCAACCAAAGCTCTTCTCTATTTGCGTTCCCTTCGCCCTTCCTATTTCCCAATTGCGACACTATTCTTCGGCACTCTTGACGAGGAACCAAAAAGACTCTTCTTTGTGGGGACAGTAATCCCACACACACACACACACACACACACACAACAAAAAAAGGAGAGAAAAAAGAAGATGAGGTATAGATTTTGGGGGGTGCACACAATGAAACACCGAACAGCCACAGCGGCTAGTTGAAGAGGGGCAGTAGACGGAGTAGGAGTTCGCTTCTGAATGTCTGCATGAGCGTAGGAGAGACAATCCACAATGACAATTCACAACGAACAGAATGAAACACACGGCAAAGTCAGATGAAGGAAGCAGAGCCCAAACATAAGCGGGGAGAGGGGAGAAGGGAAGCGAGGAAGATGATGGTACAAGATGCGGTGATTGAAATGCTCAAGGAATTTGTCGGGCCATGATAGCAATGGTAAAAAAAAAAAAAATCTTTTTTTTTTCTTTCCGCTCCCTCTTCCACTTTGTATCTCTCGCTTGATATTGTTCTTCAGCACCTATGTGTTAGATGACATCGAACGACTATGCTGCATATTGTATCCTCTGCCTTCCGTTACCATCAGTGCCTCAACATCCCGTCGATCACTTCTCGTTGCATCAAATGTTCTTGCTTCGGGGGGAATCATATTGCTATCTAGCCTCCCGAGGCATCAACCGCCCGCTCACTATAGGTAGCACCCCAGCGGTCAGAAAAAACAAACTACCCATCCCGATGGTGCAGAGGGGATTGTAAACCCCTGTGAAATTACATCTCCTCTCTATAATTGTTGCTTTCCTCGCGATCATGTTCAACCCGTATCTTTTGTATGCACGTCTTTTTGTTTTTCTTCTACACCTCTGTTCTTTCTTTCTTGTGTTTTGTTTCCCCTCCGTTCGTAAGGGGACAGGGTGGATGGAGAGTTTTACGCAACATGAGAGAAAGGCATTCACAACAATGAGTGGAAATGAACTCAAAATGAATCGTAGATTTGTACAATTAAAAAGACACTGTCTAGGAGAAAGAAGAGAATCCTCTTCTTTTTTGTCCTCACACTATCCCTACTGCTGCATCTTCTTCATGGAGTGGGCTGATGATCCTCACCGCCCTCGCCCCACTACTCCCCCAGGTTGGCCCTCCACACACGCATGCGCCGTCTGCCATCCACTGAGGAAGAGTAGCTCATCTGCGACTCGGACGGCGCCACAGACTCGGCGTGGAGTACAGCATCCTCTTTCGACGCGCTGCTGCTGTCATCGTTCGCTCTATTGCCGTAACGGGTGCTGAGAGTAGTGGCAGTGGTCACCTCACCACGCATACCGCGTGGCACTCCCTCCTGTGACGTATCATCGCTTCTAGGTTCATTATTTTCATCTTTCTCTGGTGAAGAAAATGGTGCTTCGTTGAATTCCGGTTCAGTCTGCAACTTGAGGGTCGCTTCCGGTTTCTTCTCCTCTACCATTTCTACTCTCGGCCCAGACCCTTCTTCTTGTTCTTCGTAGTCCTCATACTCCTCCACGACCGAGTCGTCCTCGTCGCTGCCAACAATACGTTCCGTAATAGTGCGGGTGACGGTCGTCGTTCGAACCGTCAGCACCCCACCGTATGCAGTGTCCTGTACGTGTGTGTCGGTCTGTGTGTCCTGTGCCGTGTCCACGATCCGTGAGTTTGGAATGAATTGTGTATTCACAACACCTTCATCATCGTGCTGCAATTGCGGGTACGTTGCTCTCACTTTTGAATCCCCATAAGGGTCTTCCGTCTCTGTCTCCGTTGAGGGTTGTACTTGGTCGCTCATCGCCTTAGTCTTGCGTCGCTTCGAGGACGGTGGACGCTCTAGTTTCACATCGGGCGAGGGGTCACGGCTCCCTTCGCTGAGCGTAGCTGCCGGCGACGGGATACTGTCATTCACGTTGGACATGCGGTACGGCGCACCATTCGGAATGTCCTCCACGCCGCCCAGCGGCCCCTCCGCGCTGCCGGCACCGTGCAGGACGGTGCCAATCGGCAGGTCGTTCACAAAGTCCTTCAGGAAATCCGTGTCGGGCGTGCGTTCCTGGGACGGCTTAGAAATCCATACGTGGCGTGTCACGGGTCGGCCTAGAATCTCTTCCAGTTGGCACATAGCCCTGTACATTTTCCATGTCGCTTGAATCTTGCTTGCCATATCTTCCCTTGTCTGTATTTCCATGTGATCCATGAGGTGGTCTGCGCGGCGGCGCAGCTGAATAATCCATGGGTGGTCGTAGTCGTACACGACGCACAGGATGCCGAGGCAGCGACGCACCAACAAAAGAGAGCGGTTATACAACTTCAGATCTTCATATATTTGAGCCAATTCAATCAGCGCAGGGATGAGTAATTCAGATTGTCGCCTGTGACCTATTTCCACCACCTCGATACAGCGGAGCAATAACAGTTCACAGGGAGACGCCTTTAATTCCCGTGTCATTTGACTACGCAGCACAAAGTCGTCTTCCGGGGAGTAATTCACCTTCAATGTCACAGGTCGGAGAAGCTTCACAACGTTAACCGCCGGCCCAACACGGCGACGAGGAGCCTTTGGTGCCATGGACTTAAGAATCTCCTGATTCAAGCTGAACACACTAGCGTCTGAGAGCACACTGCTCTCACGAGAACTGAGGGACTGTACACTCTCGTCCAAAGACGCAATCAATGGCGATACCTTCCCGGCAAACGTGAAACCTGTCGTGTCACGTTCTTGTTGATACCACAGTCGCGCCATGCCCACCATGGATAGAACATATCTCTTTAGTACCATATATATTTCCTTCTCACCACGGGCCACACGCGTCTCAGCGATTTGAATGGCACGACTGTATGTCGTTTTGGCACTCTCGGCATCGCCCTGCGCAAAATATACATCGCCCTCCTTTTGATACACTAGCACCGCAAGATGGTCAAGACGATGTGGTGGTACCTGCTCAAGGTAGGGGTAGCAGCCGCGTAGCAACTGGAGTTTCAATGTGGCCTTGTCATCGGGCAGCCCGTCCGCCTCCTTCACAGCGTCGAGAATGTACAACGTAGCTGGGTCCGCTTCCCTCATCATGACACGCATATCCTCTTCGGCAGCAGTTCCCACATTCTTTTGGCGCTGCTTTATCTTCCTCAAATCGTCGGCATTAATCTTCCCATCCGACGCATGGCGTTGTAAATCCTCTTTGTTACCACGTTTAACTGATCCGTTGACGAGCAGCATAGCCTGCGAGCGTCCGCGGGATGGGGCGCTTTCCACGCGAGGTATGGTGTTGCCAGACGACGCAGCCGCACCCATTCCCTATGAATCGTTAGACACCTTTGTTGGTTCTTGCGTGAGTATTCACAAACGCAAACCAAACACTATATGTATATATATATATATATATATATATATCTGTAGATATATATATATATATATATATATCTGTGTGGGTGTGGTTCTGGCAGGCGGTGTATAATATCCTTGGTATTGATAAATTTACCTTCCTTCCTATCTGGAACCTTCGTAACGGGAGCAAGCGGCATTCATATGAAATCCCCCCGTCGTCGGATCACGTGTCACCAGACGAAACGTCACACATCATTAATATCACAGGATTGCACAAATAACAAAAAACGCTCACTGACGATCAATGGGACAAGATGGACAATGGCTCAGATGAACGAAACACCAAATGCCACGCTGAATGAAGGGGGGCGGTAAGGTGATTTTTTAAACAAAAAGATCTTGGTTTGTATTAAAGAATAAACACAAAATAAAATCAACACGTGTCACTAACTCCTTAAAGTATAGTGTTTGCCATCACTGAATGTCATGTTGCCGCGCAGCTCAGGGGGTACAAGGACGCGGCAAAAACTGCTATCATTATCTTCCGACCCGTCATACATCGAAGGAAGGCATGGAGGTGGCGAAACACTGACCTTTATGCGGGCCAGCGAATGCTGCTGCTCGGCGAGGCGAATTGCAACATCCCGGAGAACTTCGTTGTCCTCACGGCCTTCATATTTAAGATCAGGGAAGAACGGCAGCAGCATCCACCACTCCAACATTGTCTTCTTTCCACCGTTCTCTGTGTCGTACCCTGTACCGTCTCTAAAGACAGGGGTTGGTGACTTGTTTTCTGGTGTAAGCAGACGCTGGCAAACAATGTCTTCGTAAAGATGAATGCGTTGTTGTGCGTTTGTCAACATGCTGAGGAGCGTCGCAGACTTGTCTAGTTCCTCCTTATATTGCTGACGAAGACGTTTCAATTCAGTGTCCCTTGCGGAACCTCGACTATACAGAGACGTCTTGGCACATATCCCGGCCTGACTATTGTGAGAGCCTTGTACGGAAAATAAAGGAGGCTTCACTGGGAAAGGTGACAGTTCCTTCTCGAAGCCATTGATACCATCAATACTGTTGGTCCTACTCTCATAAGGCTTTTTCATCACCTCTGTTTCCTCTGAGACCTTGGAGACCCCAGGTGGGGCCAACGACGGGAAACCAGACGCAATGGTCCGTGCAGAACTCGGCACCACATTCAGTCTCGGGGGTTTAGGTATACAACGCACCTCCTGCGACAAATTGTTATTATGACGCCTTGGTGTGGAGAAAGGAGTGGTTGCTGGTGTCACTGTATTCCCCTGTGCCACATTGCTATGTGCGTCTTTTTTGTCATCATTTTGTGTGGCTGCCTGCATTGCTTCTTGATGGCAGGGTATACTCCCCTCACGATCGAAGGATAAGAGATTTGCCTGAATCCTGCATTTCCGCCTTCCTAGTGCCCCGCGGAGCAGGCGTCTCCGGGGCTTCAGACGACATCCGTTTGAACGAGGCGATGGAGACTTGAGCAATTCGCTCACCACGGGGCTCGCTTTTGTTTGACACCGGACCGCTTCGGAACCCCCAGCACCCTCGGTATTTGTACTGCGATTGTGCATTTCGCAACGCGGGTTTCACATGTAGCCTAAACTCCGCAAGGAAACAGGGCGAAACGAAAGAGGGGAAAACACACAATTATAGGAACAGCAACAGAAACAACAGCGGGATGAATAAGAAGCGGTGTAAAAGGAAAAGAACGAAGACAAATGCAGGGGTGGCAAGAACCTGAAGTCACTCTTCAACACACACGCTTCTCTCTCGCTCATCACAGAACTCTGTTCACATGCCGTTTTTGCGCAACTGCATTGTCATTTTTTTTTTTTTCTTTACCCTGTCGATAATGAGTTTCCACACTATTCTTTATCGCTTAGGCAATGAATGAGTCTGACATTTTAAAAAAAATGAGCAGATGACTATTGAAGCCTGAGAGAAGGATGAAGCTAGCAGTCCAGGAAGTCAGCAGCCAGCAGTAACTCAGCAACGGTGTCTTGGTCCTCATCAGAGGCTGGGTTCAGTTCGCTAAGGAGGAGAAATTCTTCAGTGGAGTTGATATCGCCCGTGCTACGCTGCATGAAATAGCTGCAAACCAGCTGGAGGGTACGACCGGTGATGGGCTGCAGTGGGATCCTCGGCATTACGTCGATTTTGTTGGATGCGTAGACACCTTGAGGAACGTTAGCCTGATGCTGATCCCCGAAGCCACCGCGGTTGGGGAGGCCGTACACGGCGTCCAGCAGCGAAGAGATCATCTTGCTTTGGCGCGCAGCGGCCTCTGGGAGAACGAACTCCATGCCGTCACCAGACACGATGCAGACGTAAGGGATGGGCGCCCGAGTCCCCCTCATCTGCGTGTGCGGGGCATTCCGCTTTGATTCCATGGTGTTCATGCGTTTGTGGCAGCTTAGGTGCACGCTTTGGCGCTGAGAACTTTTTTGTGGCGGTACACACAAAAAAAATCTCAGCCCTCCTGCACAAGGCACCAACAAAAGTCAGGTAAAACAAAAAAAAATGTAGAAGACATCAATGGATAGAAGTTGTTCATTAAATGCACAAAAGCACACATGTCTTTAGAAGTATACGCAAGCACGCCACACCCGCTTCATACGCACTGCCACTACTCAAACAGTCCGCGACGGCACACAAACAAGCGGGCCACACTGATAATCGCTACAACATGAGCGACGCAGAAGGACCGCACGGCAACAGAAACAGCAGTGGGGGGAACACATGCACTCTCCTACACACCCACAGGCACAATCCCATCCATCTACCCCGCCCCCTTTCCCTACTATTTG